AGTTGGGGCTCCTCTTAAGCCATAGTCTAAGAATTAGGTGATTGGCAAAAAGATAGACTTATTAAATCTTCAAGTTGTTGAGCCTCTAGAGTATAGATTAGAGTAGAGTTTGTCAAGGCTTGTTGCTTTGCCTCTTTAATAAGTTAAACCTTCAGGCATTTTATTGTTTGCTTTTCCTTTAAGTCCTTGGGAACAGGTCTTGGGCCATGCACAAGGCGTCGTTTGCGGCTAGGCTAAGGTAGAGGTAGAGGTTGAGGTTGAGGTTGAGTTGGTGGTATGAAAGATAGAGATGAAGGAGTTGGTTGTGGTTTGGATGGTGGTTTTTGTTGAGTGACTAGAGCAGAAGGCATGGTTGGTTGAGGTTGAGATGTTGGTGGAGGATTGGGTAGGATTTCAACACTAGAGATGGATTTTGTGCGAGTAATACGGTGGATGAGAGGTGCATTGTCTGAGTCAGACGAAGTATCATGGACATGAATTTTGAGGGCTTTGGGAATAATGGATGATGGCCTTGGTTGAGAGGGTTGTTTGGGAGGCTGAGTGGTGGTGTTGTGGGTGGTGTGAGTACTCAAAGAAACTTTCTTCAAAGGGGACTCCTCCCCTTGTTCCTACTTCACTCTCAAAATGTCATGCTTAACAACTTGAAAGAGGTGGGCAATGCTCATTCTTCTAAAGGTTGTCATTGAGACTTTCCCTCCGTCATAACCTGCTTCCAATTCAAAGGTATCAATCCTAACCCTCTAAATGATTTTGGTGAACAACATCCTATACCAGGAATGGATGTTCTCTTATCATGTTATGCAAGGCAGGACCTCCATTCATGGTAGACTAACTTTGGAAGGTTTATCTTCTCCCTAAGAGTCAAAAAGTAAAGATAGAGCATGTCCAAATTAGTGACATGGTCTCTTGAGTGATAATTCTCCAGAGTTGGTACTGGTTGGATTTGATGAACATCTCCATCCTGTTCATCTAGTATGGGTAGTCTTCTCCGTTGAAGGGAGGATGCCTTATGAAAGAAACACTTTTTGATAAGTATTCTCTTTCACTATTTATTTCTATCGTGGATCTATTCCTTTAACATTATTAGATGCTTAACCTCATCAAAGATTGAACTTTGATACCAAATTATGGAGAAAAGACACATAATAGAAGGGGGGTTAAATTGTGTGTATCAAAAACTCACACGTTTGAGCAACAAAGAAGAAAAGAACTTAATAAATGAAGTGCTGGAGAAAAGTTAGATGAAAAACTAGAATTTTTATACTGGTTCATCTCAATCACCAAGATTACTTCTAATTCTCAGTCAAACTAAATTGATTTCCACTATCTTTTAGACAATATACAAGTATTCTTCTAACAAACCACTTCTTGCTGAATCTTAAGTAGCCTTTGACTTGCCTCTTTAAGCAACTACCCAAGTATTTTTTGAATAACAAGCCTCTCTAGGTTTAGCATAAATTCTTTCTTAAACAAGCCTCTCTAGGCTCAACACCAAGTATTCTTCAAACAACAAGCCTCTCTAGGCTCAACCCTTACAACAAAAGATTATGAGGTCACTAGTGGAAAAAGGAGCTACTACGTCTCTTCATTTACGTCGGAAACTAGCACACCTGACGTTGTAAAAACGCGGTGGCAGTTCCGTAAATAAGAGGAGGCAATTTACGTCGGACATCGATGGGTCCGACGTAAATGAGATAATTTACGTCGGACAGCTAAAGCAGCCAGCGTAAATTATCTCATTTACGTCGGACCCATCTTCGTCCGACGTAAATAACTCCTTAAATGAAGGGCGCGCACTACAGATTTCAAATCGTGGCATTCTTCTTCATCTTCACGTTCTCCCGCGCGTTGTGGATTCTTCCTCATCCCTCCGCCTCCTCCTCAAATCGTGGTTGTCTTCCTTATCTTCACGTTTTTCTATTTTTCTTCTTCGGAGTTGCATTGTTTCTTCTTCGCGTGTTGATGGAAATGGCTTAACCATACATCCATCTGTTTTTCTATGAGGTAGTGACCACTCCTTAACCGATGTTTGTGTTTTCTGGGATGTATTTCGTGATAATGTTTGTGTTGCATTTCGTGTTTGTGAAGCTGCAGAAGGAAGTGACCACTGCCTGGGTCTATCAAGCAGAACGGG